TATTTCCTTTGCAGTCCGGCTTTCAGTCTCTGCCGCTAACTGAACATATTTATTTTTCTGCCTGGATCCTCTGGCCTCCTTTGCCTCTTTTCCCTTCCCCCTATTCTCTCTGTAGAGGAGTATTGATTTTCGTGGAAATCAGTTATTGTTGGGCAACAGATAGCACTCTCCACCCTTCCCCCCTTCGCTGGATGCCATCTGCACTTTGCTTTTCTCTCTCCCCCTTTGCCCATCCTTCCACCCCCTTGGGAATATGGTTTAGGGATGGGGGTGGGTTCCCACTGCCTCTGTTTTGTTTTAATTGGAATGAAAGTGTGAATGAAGTCAAAGGAGAATCACAAGGCTGATTTCAAAGCCAAAATGTGCTACTCAGGGTTGGGATTGTGTGTTTGCAGAGGTGGGGGTCTGATCAGCTGGTAGGAATTTAAAATAACAAAACCTTTTTTTGAGTCCATTGGTTTTTTTTGTTTGTAGAACTCATACACAACACAAGGTTTCTTCTTTGAATGCAGGTGATTCCCTGAACACCCAGAATGAACCAGAAGAGATGATGAAAAAGGAGAAAAAGTCTGAAGCCCTGAATATCAGAGGTAGGATTGACTTGGAATCCATTTGAAATCCTTTTCAGAGTGACATATGGACTTCATTTCTGTTTGCCTTTTCATAGGTGTGTTAGAAAGTAGGCCGTTTACATGCAGTCACTATGACCTTAGTCACTTGCCTAATCACTGCATCGATTTTGAGGGAGGCAAAGTTGCTAATGATTTATCCTTGTTCCACTTGGATCCATGCTAATGCTGCCTGCTCCAGGGCTTCCCAGATCAGTGGCATGCTGCTACTTGATTTTGCTGCTACTTGATTTTGCCCGCCCGTGGAAACTGCTAACACAGAATGCAGCCTAGATGCACTGCACCTTCCCTTCCCAACTTCTTGGGTACAGATTTGAATTGAACATCATTTGGATAAAGGTTGGAAGGGAGTAGGTGGGCTGCTATCCAAGGTTATGCCCCAAATGACATCGCTTGAATGACCCTCAGTTATTTCTGCCAGAAATCTGCTTCTGTGAGGGGTCTGTTGGCTCACCTGTATCTGCACCTCCAGGCTGGAAGTGGGGGTTCTGATGAGGCATGTGGAAAGCACATCACTAGGATTCCTCCTCCCACGTGCTCCAGGTCACATGCCCAGGGCGAGGCTCAGCCCAAGGAGATCAGACATGCTTTTCTCACAGGACACCAACATATTTCACTGCATCTCCCCTTCCCAACTTCTTGGGGATAGATTAGCTTCAGAGTAATGCAACAAGGATGAATCTCCAATCTGACAAAGAATTTCAGCAAAGATTATGCAAAGACTATGATGTTTAGGTGGTCTGGGGAAGCCTGTAGGGGGAGCTAAAAGGGAAAAAAAATACAAAGAAACACTAGTGACGCAGGAGACGCCTTTATTTCAGAGTCTCACATCTGTTTCATGAAGTGACACCCAGGATGGATCTGTAAGGAAAATCAGAAAAGGACAGCAACACATGAGCTCCTAAAAGTTTCTCAATCAATTAATTTTAAAAATTTAACTGTAATAGGGGAATTCCTTAAAAAGTGTGGTGGTGAATCTTTTTGGAGAGAGAATCTATGATGAAAACTCATAATCCTCTAATTTATTCTTTTTTAAGCTTCAGTTTAAATATCCATATGTGTGTGTGTGTGTGTGTGTGTGTGTATAGTGGGTTTTTAAGCTGGAGTTCATCGCCATAGCACTTCACCTTTTCAAACCACATTCGGTTAACTATTCTTTTTTAAACTGAGATAGAATTGGCATAGAACATATTAGTTTCAGGTGTACAACGTAATGATTGGATCTTGGTATATACTGTGAAACGATCACCACAATGGCTGGTTAACCTCCATCATCATACATTTGTGTGTGTGTGTGTGTGTGTGTGTGTAATGAGAACTTTTAAGATCTACTCTCTTGGCAACTTTCAAATATATGATACAGTATTATTAATTATAGTCACCATGATGTACCTTGCATCTCCATGACTTATTTATCTTATAACTGGAAGTTTGTAGCTTTTGACTCCACTCACTCATTTTACCTACCCTACCCCCCACTTCTGTCAACCACCAATCTATTCTCTATACCTGTGAGCTTGTTGTTTTTACGATTCCATATATAAGTGATATTGATTATTCATTCTTCCCTTATGTTACAGAGGAAAGAACAGGTAGGTGGAAAGAAGCTGAGATGGAACAGTAGATCCCAGTAGCTATTGGGACCGTGTTTGGAAGGCATAGTGTAAGGGAAACTTGTACGAGCTTGCTAACCTTCGGTCCATACCGAATGGAGCTCCTGGGTACAAAAATGCCAGTGGTAAAACACCTTGCTGTACCTGGCTGAGCCCTGTTGGTCCACAGGTACTGACAAAAGTGCACCTCAAGCTTCCAACAGAGGTCAATAATGCAGTGGCAGAAAGGGATTTGGGTGCAAGCTGCCTGGTTTTGGGTCCTGGCTCTGCCACCTGAGAACAGTGTAACTTTGCAAGTTATCAAACCTCTCTAAGTCTCCAACTGCCACATCTTTAAAATGAGGGTAAGAATAGTACCCTCTTCATGGGGTTGTGTAAAGGGCCCAGGCACATGGGAGGAAGGCTAGCTAATGTGATGGCGTGTGTACTTTGTGCTGGCCCCATTCAAGAATGAGTCACTTAGCACTCGTAATGACCTTAGGAGGTGGGTCCTACTGTCAGTCGGGTAGTGAGTGGCATTGCCAGGCTCCAGCCTAAGCTGCTGCAGTCCAGGTGAGCTCAGTGCCCTGGCCGTGGCTCACAGGAGCCTTCCCAGATTTTGGGCTAAGGGGGAGGCTGGCCTCACCTTGCATTCTGCGCCCTTATCTTAGAGCCACGATTCAGGGAAGGGCCACAGCGTGTTACAGCTGGAAAGGCCTTAGGGAAAAAGGCCTTCACTTTACAAATGAGGAAAGGAGTTCCGTGGTTCTGGTGACTTCCCCTGTCACCCCAGCCAGAAGGGCTGGTCTCCTAGGCTCCAGCTTCACATTTCTGGCCTTTTTTCCCCCAACATATAGATTTTTATTGAAGTGCAGTCAGTTTACAATGTTGTGTCAATTTCTGGTGTACAGCATAATGCTTCAGTCATACAGGAACATACATATATTCATTTTCATATTCTTTTTCACTGTAAGTTACTGCAAGGTATTGAATATAGTTCCCTGTGCTATACAGTATCTGGCTCTTCCCATCATCATGCACCTGCCTCTGGACTCCATGCAGGATGGCTTGCTTCTCCAGGGTCCACAGTCCACTGAATGTTTACATTTCTGACATTTTAGCCACTGCTTTAGAAAGCAGGACTGTCCCCGCAGACCTTTGGAGGGGACAGACAATTGTGGGGATTCTTGCGAACAAAGATCATTTCTTGATTTTCCTTACTGTTTCTCTTATTCCAATGGAATAAAAAAGAATGCTTTCTAGGAAACGCATGCCATCTTCTGCTGTAAAGCACATTCCTTCAAAAATCTTCAGTGCCCTTTGTAGTGGTTGATTTTATTTCATAGGATCAAATATAATACATTAAAAAAAGGTTGCAATGGAGTGTCAGAAAGACAATCAACCCTTTGTATTTCAGTGTAACTATAGAGAGATGAATAACAACCCTGGCATCATTTGAAAATCAACCTCCTTCTAGGAGATGTTTCTTTTTAATTCTTTTTTTTTTCTCCCAATGAGAAGGATCTCTCATCTTTCCACAGCCACGGGTTAATGCCTAGTGCTAATGCTCGGTGTTTCCAGCTGTTCCGCAAATATGGAAGGACTGATGGCTTTTCAGAGTGCTGGGACTCATGTCAAATTTCAACTTATGTCACATTGCCATGCAATATGCTGGTGTTTTGGTTTTGCTTTTATTTAAAGACGGCAAGTGAGGGATAAGTGTCCTGCTGTTGCCAAGCTACCTTGTGAAACTAATGACTTATCAGCTGATGGGACTGTCTAGCAGGTGGCAATCTCTGTCTCTCAGGTGGTGCTGCCTGATTGCACTCTCCGAGTCATGGAGGGGTTCACGTCAGAGTCTGCGCAGAAACCTTTACTGCATCCAGAAAGTGTTCCCTGCTAGCATCCAAGAGCTTGCTGTTCCGTGCCAGCGCTCTTTTCCAGATGTTTCCATCCTTCTCTTCAGCTCTTTCCTGCCTCACCCCCTCCCTACCCCTGAGCGATCTCCCCGGCCCATCCCCTACCCCCTCCATTTCAGGCACATGTACAGTGAGGAGAGGAGGGTTTAGTCTAGCGGATCTGGTTTGAGTTCTGCTTCTGCTTTTCACTAGATAGATGGTGACTGTGGGCAAGAAACATAACCTCTTTGAGCTTCAGTTTCTTTGTCTACGTGATGGGGATGATAGGAGTGCCGACATCACCGTGTTGCGGTGCGAGGCACCTGGCTGGCTGGATCAGCACAGAGGATCCATCAAGGAATCACGTCCATTATTATCATCGCCTCCCCATCAGTTCTGTACACTTCTCAGTGGGTTTCAGATGCTGTTTCACGTCCTCATCAGAGCTCGCCTCTGCGAGAAGTGAAGCAGACGTTATCATCATCCCGGTTCCACCGCTGAGAATCTTGTTTCTCAGAGACGCTGACTTTCACAAGGTCTGTGACTCATAGAGGCTGTCAGCTCTGAGTCCGAATGTAGCGCATGCATTCCCCATCGCATCAGCCACGTTGTGTGGCAAGTGCGTCCCCATCCGCAGCCTCCCTCGGGTTCTCTGCTTGAAACGCCGTCTGAGTTCCCTCTGCCTGGAACGTCACTACTTTCTGAAGTCTGTCTCCTCTTCAGAGTCCTGCCCAAGTTGCCCATCTCGCCAGAAGTCTTCCCTGAGACTCCTCTATCTTCTCAGGCGAATAATCCTCTCCCTAGAAGTTACTGATACTCTTATCTCAGAATCCGGCCAGTGGCTGTGTTCCCCAGAGGACAATAACCATCTTTGCATGAGCCCCAGAAAACACACTGCAATAACCAAATCTCAGGAATTTAATGCAGTGATGCTGTAAGCAATTTTTCATGCTGAAGGTCATGCGAGTTTAGGTCATAGAATCGATTTAGTAGAGTATGACTGACATTTAAAAAATTAACTTGAATTGAATGAAATAGAATAGAAAATAGTAATACATCATATGTAAGTACAGTTTTTAAATTTTTTCACCAAACATTTGTTTCTGTGTTTGTGCTTGGGCCAGGATGCAAAGGATGATTCTTGCTTTGGTTGATGTGAAAAAAAAGTTTAACACTCTTTTATATAATTCTTAGGGGCTAATAGTGAGATTTCTCAGAAGGAGAACCTGAAACTGGAATTTAGGACTTAGATGAGGTAGGATGCACAGTGGTTCTCTAGTCAGACTAGAGACATATCTCCAGACTTATATCTCCCCTTAGACACTTTGTAGCTGTGTGATCTCGGATCAGTTACTTAGCTACTCTGTGCTTCAGTTTCCTCATTTGTAAAATGAAGAGAGTGACCACTTCAGAGAGTCCTTAAGAGGACTTAACATGTAAATACAGGCAACATGCTTATAACAGTGTCTGGCGCATACATGTTAGCTGACTTATTATTATTTAGTAAAAGGCGAGACTTAGTCTATGTTGTGGGAGTTACGACTAAACAAACAGAAAATAGTTTTTTGTTGAGTGCCTAGATTGTGTACCTCCAGTGCTAAAATATAAACAAAGGAAATGCAGGGTATGACCCTCATCCTCATGTTGCTTTTAGTCTAATGGAGGAAACAAGGCTGATGTCCATAAAAAAGAGAGTAACAGACGACGGTCTCATGCAGTGAGAATGATGTCGAGTGTATATAGGAAGTATTTGGTCTTCATATTTTTATGGTAGTATTTTGTGCTGCCCTGGAGAAGGTTAAAGCTTTGATCTTCAGTTCTTCCTGAGGGAACAAGATGTAAAGACCAACTTTGGGGAATGTTTTGACTTTCTCTTTGTAGCCGAGGACAGAGACTGGGGAGTAAGATGCTCCTCTGGGTGGGTGGGTGGGTTGAAGGGGACACAGAATTTACAAGTGGGACTATTTAGTGTATTTATTGAATCAAGATCGTGGTACCTTAAAGAAACACTCAGCCAGAAGGAGATGTAGTGATTCTTTTTATTCTTGTATTTTTTTGGGGGGGGGAGTTGTCACGGATTGCATTTAGTATGTTTATAAAATATCATTTGACCTATGATGCTACTCAGAATCCTAGAAGAGTTGCCAAGAAGCACTAGCCTCTTCCAAGTGAGGGTGTTCAGTTGTAGCCTTGAGTGAGTTGTTCATATTTTGGATTATTATTAATTCTACTAAGGGATTTTGTGGGATCCTTGGAGAGACAAAGAAGATTCTTTCTTTCTTTCTTTCTTTCTTTCTTTCTTTCTTTCTTTCTTTCTTTCTTTCTTTCTTTCTGTATAGTTGATTTACAATATTCTGTTAGTTTCTGGAGTATAGCAAGTTGATTCAATTATACATATATATACAGATTATTTTTCATATTATTTTCTATTATGGCTTATTACAGGATATTGAGTATAGTTCCCTGTGCTGTACAGTAAGACCTTGTTGTTTGTCTATTTATATACAGTAGTTTGTATCTGCTATCCCAGACTCCTAATTTATCCCTCCCCCACTCCCTTTCCCCTTTGGTAACCATAAGTCTATGAGTCTGTTTCTGTTTTGTAAATAAGTTAATTTGTATCATTTTTTTAGAGTCCACATATAAGATATATATTTGTCTTTCTTTTTCTAACTTACTTCAGTTAATGTGATCATCTCGAGGTCCATCCATGTTGATGCAAATGGCATTATTTCATTCTTTTTTATGGTTGAATAGTATTCCATTGTAGAAATATACCACTTCTTTTTTACCCAGTCATCTGCTGATGGACCTTCATGTTGCTTCCATGTCTTGGCTATTGTAAATAATGCTGCTATCAAAGCAGATCTTCCTTAATCCATGTGCTTTCTTCTAGAGCAATACTCTGGAGATTTATGTTCATTTGAATCACCTGGGGATCTTACTAAAATGCAGAATCAGATTCAGTAGCTCAGAGGTAGGGCCTGAGATTCTGCGTTTCTCACAAACTTCCATGGGATACTGATGCCGCTGGTCTGTGAACCATACTTTGAAGAGCAAGATTCTCATGCTGCTTTCTGTTAAAAAACAATAACAACAAAAAAAAACCCTTTTTAAAAAAAATTGACATACTGTTATACTTGATAATCCTTCTGACAAATCTTCACCTAATTCACTAAACCCCAACGTGGTCTACGTCTTACAAGCAATCGGACACTTAGATTGTCTTTTGATCTTCTTTACTGGGATGACTTCTGTATCATAATCGAAACTTTTCAAAGCAGTTCCCTTAAGTAAAGGCATCTACAATTTTTGTTATCACCTGTAGAATTTAACATTTTTTAAAATCATGGCTCTTTATCTAGTGGGACTGTTGCTGGAGTCACTGTTCTGGGGAACCTCTTAAACCAGATGCAGTTTAAATGACCACAGGCTGAGAGAGAAGTAGGTAAATGCGTGCAGGGGAGGGGAAAGTGAGGCAAGGTGGAGGGAAGGCAAAGCAATAGAAGAACCTCTCTCTTGATCTATTTTAGTTCCCTCTCCCCTTAAAAATGTTTGAAGCAATTTAAAGCACAGACACTTGTCAGAAAGGGGGAAAAAACCCCAACATTTGTGCAGCCTGTGTTTTCTGGCTTGGTGCCCTCTGATGGGCGGTGGGTGGCTGCAGAGTGGCACCCTGACCTGGCACTGTCCCTCTCCCACAGGGCAGGTGTCTGCAGCTCACAGTCTTCCTAAGTTGTTCCAGGTTCTCTGGGTCCTGTGATTTTGTTTTCTGAGATGCCGTTGCCATTGTTTCTGCATTTGAATCCATCCAAAAAGAAAACAAATAACCACAGTAGTCGTCGACTGGGAAGCCAGGTCAGTGAGTGTCACACAGCTCCCCAACGTGGATCTGCGCTTTATAGGTCTTTCTTTCTTCCTCTCAGGGGTACTTTTACATGTGATGGGAGATGCCCTGGGATCGGTGGTTGTGGTGATCACGGCCATCATATTCTATGTGCTTCCCCTAAAACGTGAGGACCCGTGTAACTGGCAGTGCTACATCGACCCCAGCCTGACTGTCGTCATGGTCATCATCATTTTGTCATCTGCCTTCCCACTCATCAAAGAGACTGCTGCCATCCTGCTGCAGATGGTCCCCAAAGGCGTCAACATGGAAGAGCTGAGTAAGTTGGACAATTCTGATCTCAAACCACTGCCCGCTTAATGTTCTTCAGTCCTGAGGGCCAGCATGATGTCAGAGAGTGTTGGATTTATGTATTCTGATATGATTTAAATCACTGAGCAACAGAGACATCCATGATATGCTCTGTAGCCTGCTACGGTAGCTCACAGCTCCAAGAAACAAAGGTCCTTTGCAGCCCATGATTCTCTGATTCTACTGCAAATTTTTGAAAATGTAATGCTTTGGCAATACCTATTCCTTGGCTGTTTATTTACCTTCATGTCAGAGATTTATTTTAACTCAGATAAAGCCACACTGCCCGTAACTTGATTTTTATTCTCCCTGTTCTGAAAACATGAGACGTTCATTCGTTCATTCATTTGCTAGATCCAGCTTTCTAGTGAATCGATTTTTATGGGCATGCAGGTCAGCACGTGTCTCATAACACAGTGAAATGGACCATGTTTCAGTCCAGATCATTCATGGCCTCATTCAGTAATGAAATCTGTTTCCTTGCTTTGCTCAAATAGCAGGTCAAACTCTCATTTTAGTTTACGTGCATCAGAGGATAGAATTTTCAGAGACTTTGTAAAATTTCTAAATGGGAATGCTCCAGATGTTGGTGAGAAACTGAATGTGTAACTTTATTTCTTGAGTTTCTAAATGGAGATTATGTTTTTGTAGAAAACAACACGTTTTTATGCACCTTTGCTCTCTTTGTAGCTATCACTGCTTCAACAGCAAGCCAGAAAACAGGAGCGAGGGCCTGAGCCCACTCAGCGGCTGAAAGTTGACAGACTTTATTTCACGACAGATACCTGAAATTTAGTTGATTTACAATTCTGCGTTAGTTCCTGGTGTACCGCGTGATGATTCAGTTACACACACGAACACACACACGCATATTCATTTTCATATTCTTTTTCATGATAGGTTATTACAAGATATTGAATGTAGTTCCCTGTGCTGTACAGGAGGACCTTGTTTATCTCTTTTATAGACAGTAGTGTGTATCTGCTAGTCCCAAACCCCTAACTGATCTTTGATGGGTCTTAATACATTGCACGGCCACAGCTAGACTTCCCTCCCGGAAGGCATGATTTCCGGTGAGACTGTTCTGTGAGGGTCACAGTCCTGCTGGCCCTTTGCCTAGCAGTTGGTGCTCTTCCCACAGTCTTTCCCCCGGATGCTCTATTTGCCTCTTTTTCCTTTTTTTCCTACCTCTTCTTTGGCAGCATTGGTTAGTTTATCTGTCTCTGAGAGCCAGTTAAATGTGGTCAGGTCTCCAGCTGCTTTACTGCGCAGGGTTACAGCAGTCAGCCCCCGTGTCCTGCCCTGTGCGCTGTGCTGCCGGCAGTGGAGGGAGAAAGCGAAGGAGCTGATACACAGCATCGTTTTCCTTGTAAGGGCTTGTATCCCAGTGGGGAAAAAACAAAACAAACACACACACAACAATTTGTGATATATGTTGGTTTCATTGCCTTTTAACAAAGTAATATATGTATAAAAGCAGATATTTAAAATCTTGTGGTAGCAATAGCAACACTTTCATGGTACTTATTACATGCTAGGTCGTACTGTTCTAAGTACTTTACTTATATTAACTTATTTTAATCCTTAATAATCATAT